CCAAAGACACAATGAACCCTGTGAGGTGAGCTGACTCGCCCAATGTAATGCCCTCAATGAAGAAACCCACTAGGGCTTCCCATCTGTAGCACTGTGGTCAGAGCTTGAAACTGACATGAGGAGAGACCCCCCAAAGGGCAAGAGGCAGATGATGATCAGACAAGGATACTTCCCTCCACACTAGGAGTGGTTCTTTAAAGGCGCTCAAAGCACTTCTCTAATGTTTATAAATTAAGTCTCCTGACCCCTCTCTGGGGTAGGACAGGACAATAATTCCTATTTTGCAGAAGCTGGGGACACTGAGGCACATAGAGAGCAAGTGACTTGCTTAAGATCTTACAGTGACTGAGGCGACACTGGGAATGGAAGTCCTGGGCCCAGAAACCCAGTGCCTTGCAAAAACCCCAAACCAAAACTTCCTCTATAACTGCTTAATAGCTCCAGCCCTTTGCGGGTTACACCTACCCTCACAGATCATGGCAGTGCACACCCAGTTCCCACAGGCACAGACACAGCGGTTACACTCCACTTGGGTCTCAGCTCCATCCTCATAGGTTTCATCTTCAAGGGCACATTCTAGAAGGAGCAAGAACAAGGGGAATTGGCTTTGATGTACAGGGCAGAAACAGGCAATTGGATTTGGACAATTCTTTGGTTTCCTCAAGTCTTCCCAAAGCACTTTTGAGTGAGACAGTGCAGTGACTGCTGGGGCCACAAGAGCATCTATTTATCATGCCTGCCCAGCCTGGGATCTGAAGCCTGTTGATGGGGATCATGGACAGCATCTTCAGGGAGTGCTTATGGGATGCAGGACTTCCCACTGAAAGGAGCAGCAGGGAGTTCAGTTTACTGTTTCACCAGCAGTATGACCATGGAGTGCACGGAGACTAAGCCCTGGAGCAGGACCTGAACCAAGTCCTTCCTGGCCTATGGATGAGCATACTCCTTAGTGAGACAATTAGATCAGCTGCTCTAGATGATGTTTAACCCTTAGAATGCTGAGCCATTTCCAGGTAAACTTCAAATCTAACGTGGGTTCCAGAGCCTGGTGAACTACTGGAAGCTGGTCAGGGAGGAGATCTGGTAAATGAAAGCCACATCAGGACAAGACTTTTTACTGGACTGAGACCTGTCAAGTGCTCCACCTCCTAAATTGTGCAGACACGCACTCCTTCTCATACGATCCACTGTTGAATCCTCCTCTTGATCACGCAAACATACATTCTCCACTGACCCACCCTTCTGAAATCTACATCCCATACACCCTAATATCAGGGAAGCTGCAAGGTAGGACTGAGGGGCACTGGCAGGGCTGTGTGGGGAACCCAGGGTTGGAATAGCAGAGGGCTGCAGGGCAGGAGTGATGTGTATGGGATGAGCCATAGAATGCCTGTTTCTTGTGTCTGGCTTTATGCCCTTCTATTCTCTTCCCTGCTTTCGGGAGCTCCCATCTGTCCCCCAGTACAGACATGAAGATCATACTTTTCTCTGGTGGATTGAAGGATGGGTTGAGGCACTTGAGGAACTCATTGAAGCTGAGTTTCCAGTCAGCATTCTCATCAGATAGCTCAATGAGGGCATCCACACAGAGTCCCCTGAAAGGAAGCAGATACAATAAGCATGGGGCTCAGGGTGCAGCCACTGCTATGGCTCCTGTTCTTCCTGGTACAGGGAGCTGGACAAGTAAGTGCAAGGACTGGAGCCAGGGCAGCAAAGCAATGGTTGTAACAAAGGAGATGTGGGCTCCGATTGCTGCTTTGTCAGGGAATGGGGATTATTCTGAAGAAGGTAGCAGCAAAGGCAAATCTCCAGCACAGCCTTATCAATGCTATTTTGTTGTTAGTTTCAACACAGAATGGAGACATGACTATGAACTTTCACCTCCTATCGGTACCACCACAATAGAAATGGGCCAGGAATAGATATTTCATTTTTTTGGCAAGTTTGAAAAAAATAAAAGAAAAAAAAATTTTTTTTTTGAGTCAGACTGAAAGCACATTTTCCCCTCAATTTTTGGGGAACTGAAAAGTTGAAATTTTTTAAAGTCAGGTTGATGCTTAATCCTGACACGATTTTTATTTTATTGCAGGCATTTTGGCAAAGCAAAGAGGATTAGATTTGCAAGACACTGGGGTTGGTCTGAATTCTCTTGCCAATTTGAGTATCAATTCTCAGTGGTGGTTAGACTAAGGCAACTAGTTTTTCCTTCCTGTCTACCGCCCCTCCCTGCCCCAGGTTACCTGAGTAGCTTGTTGGTCTCCTGGTCCACATAGGTAGTGATGTTGATGGCAGTTTCATTCTGTTCCACAAACTTCAGGAACTCATTGGAGTCCAGGCGAGAATCCCCTCCATCAAAGCTCTATAGGGGTGAGAAGATGGATACAAGAAAGCTGAGGATTTATCTAATTCTCATTCCTTTTCCTTTTCCACAAATACCTGACAACGGAGCTGGGTGAATGACTGATTCTTTGGCTCAGCGGCAATTCTGATCAATTGGAAAAATGAAGTCGGATAGGAGTTGAACAGAATCTGAAATTGGTTTGGAACTTGCAGTGAACTGAAAAACCCTTCTGGGTCTGCTCTAGAGCAGAGTCACACCTGGGTCTCCTGCATCCCAGGTGAGTGCCCTTTTCACTGGGCTAAAGGTCATGGAAGACAGGGGGAAGGAAAGGAGGAAGTACTGGCAGCACCATTTATTCTTTTTTTCCTCCTCTGGCTATTTTATGAATGTCTGAAACTATTTATGTCAAATTTCTGAACAGTTTCGGGTCGCCCCAAACTGCTGTCTCCATGAAATAAACTAGATGTACAAAAGCCTTCACCCAGTTCTATTTGCTAATACTTAGCACTATGTAGTACTCTGCGGCTTCAAACCTCAACTCTTTTGTGAGGCAGGTGTCATTCTCCTTATTCTGCAAAAAGGAAACTGAGGCTTATAGATGGGAAGTAACTTCTCTGCCACCCAGAGTTGGTATCAGAGCTGGGATGACAAGACAGCAGTAAGTCCTGATTTCTACTCCTCTGCACTGGCCAGTAAACTGCCTGATTCTCAATCACCTCTGGCTGTTTGCTTTATGAACACAGCAAAATCACATACTTTCCTCCCTTTCTTCCAGGTGGCCCTTAACTTGCATACATTTTCTGGCATGAAATGGACCAGTTATGTTCTAGGGGTGTTGTGGTGGTGCAAACTTACAGATAGATGTAGAACCAGAGTCTTGACTCATGTGCTAAAGGCAAAGAATCAGAGGGAGAGTCACTTTCTGTGAACACTGAACAAGAGACTTCATTAGAATAAGGTAACTCCAGAACAGAGCATTATCCCTGAAGCTGCTCTGTGTCTCTCTGCTTCACTGCAAAGCTTCTATCTAGAACCATCCTCAGCCTCCACCCACATCCCTGTCTTTCTGCTACAGATTCAAAGCAAAAGAACAGATATTTTCATACTAGCTACACTTGGTCATGAAAGATCCATGTCACTTAGGAATGGAGTGTTCAGCCAGTGTCCTACCTAAATTCCAAGGAGAGTAATTACATTCCACCTTTATAAATTCCTTCTGCAGTTTCACATAGATGCAGGATTCCTTTTCATTTCCTATGCAAAATTAGTGTGTAGTGTGCCAGTGCTGTGTCCCATCCCAGTTCAGACAATTGCAGTGCAAAGGTGGAAGAAAAGAACCCGGTTTACTGAATGATGTAGAAATTTTGCTGTGTGCCTGGGTCAAGACTCTTCCACTCCTTGGTTATGTCTACACTTGTGGCTTCTTGCGTAAGTAATATGCAAATGAGGCTAAGAGTGGAATATCGCCGAGCCTCGTTTGCATACCTAATGAGCAACCATTTTTTTCAGAAGAGGCTCTTGCGCAAGAAGGAGCGTCTACATTGCCCCTTCTTGCGCAACGCCGTTACACCTATTACTTTTCAGGAAGAACGGCGCTGCGCAAGAGGGTTTTTCTTGCGCAAGAGGGGGCAGTGTAGACGCTCCTCCTTGCGCAAGAGCCTCTTCTGAAAAAAATGGTGGCTCATTAGGTATGTAAATGAGGG